ACTGGCTGGACTTCCAACACAGACATTTGGCAATCCACAGTATTTTCAATCGTCTTCTCCAATACCATAACTCAAATGTAGCAATTTTTCTACAGTCTTCCCTATTCATTATCCAACTTTCACAGCACATAACCACCACCACTATCAATATTTTCAGAAGAAAAATAAATGCCCTGTTAACATAAGGAGCTTCATTGCTATGCAATAGAAAATGAGAAAACAAGGAGATAATTTTTCCTTTCCTTAAAGTGTCAAAATATTAAAGGTTTATAACAGATGCAGCAAGGCAGAGAGATTCTATCTGGAAAAGAGGAGCTCTGGTAGCATACTGATTACCAATCGGACTGCATTTGGTAACTACTAGCCGTTCTGCAGGAGAAAGATGAGGCTTTCTGCTCCCGGAAAGATTTGCAGCCTTGGAAACCCTGTACAAGGTCACTGTCAGTCGGAAGGGACTCCATGGTACTTAACAACAACACTATCTGGAGGAAGAATTTAAATACAAAGATTTTGTTTTGGACAGAAGACTATTTGGATTTCAACAAAAAATTTAAATTGAAAAAAAAAAAACCCAACTCCAAACCATTCTTTCCACAGCATGCTCTACTTCTCAGCTGGGTTCAATGATTTATTGCAGTGGCCACACAGAAGCAGAGGACAAGTACTCACAGTTAGGGAATTAATTAGGGAAGTTGAACAGGTTACAATATCAGATATGAAAATGCCCAGGGCACAGTTGTTCTAGTGAGGAGAGTCTCTCCTCAGGTATGCCCACCGGCAGGCCTCTCACTGCCTGGCCAATGTTACAAAGATCTTTCAGAACTGATGATGAATGCCCACAGGACACGGCACTCCACCTTAAACCCAGACTGAAGATTTTGAGTTTTAGCTCTGTGTGTGGGTCAGCCAACCTAGTTCCCCTCAATTAAGTTCCTGGAAGCACCCCACTCTGAAAGCAGGCCTCCTGCCCAAAGTCGCTCAGCTTTACTTGCTCCATGGACTGGGAAGCCCACCCTGTCACTCTGTCTTGGTTCTGCTGCTGCTGTTCCTCTGCCTCTCCTCTGGTGTCACAGCTTTCTGTCCTTGGATCAAGGCAGTTCAATGCACAGAGATCTTTGGACCCACAGGATGCACTCCACTCCTGGCTTTTCCTGAATCAAAAATTTAATTTCCAGGAATCTATCTTAAAGAAGTGGTGACATGTGGACAAAAATATATATAAGGGTATTCATTTGTAGCATTTTTTGTAGCACACTAAAAATTAGAACCAATCTATGCAAACCTTATACAAGAGGTTAATTATGATACATACTTATTGTGGAATGCTATGCATCTATTAAAAAGAGGTAGATCTTATTTTCTGATAATGGATAGAGCTGTTGAGCCAAATAAAGAAATCAGAGGAACAATACATAGGGTATGAAGCTATGTATGTTAGAGTGGGTGGGATGTGTGTGTATATACATACACAGACACAAATTTGCATTTGTATATACAAACGGCAGCAGTGATAACAATGCAGTTTGTTAAAGCAGTAGAAATATTTGAAATATGTATGTTTATTTGGCCTTTGGAGGTTGAAAGCAGTACATGAACATGTTTCTATTTTGTTTCTGTTATAACGTCACCATAGAATTTTTCCTAATGAAGCAAAATTCAATAGAAATAAGAGAGTTTCCATCTCTAAAAAAAAAAGCTGGAAGTTTCTAACTGCTGACCTTGAGGTCAGTAGCCTGACTCATAACCACTATGCTACCCGAGTATATGCAAGAGAAGGAGTCCAGCTGGTGCAGTGGGTTAAGTGGTGGGCTGCTAGCCACAAGGTCAGCGTTCAAATTCACCAGCCGTTCTCAGGGAGCTCCCATAAAGATTTAGTCTCAGAAACCCTAAGGAGGCCTCGGTCTATCTTGTTAAGGTTTTGTGTCAGGATTCTCAGTAGTCTGGCTGTTGAGATATAGTTGTCCCCCATGATTTGATTTGATGTGATAAACCAATAAAAAGAGTAAGGGTAGGATGTTGCTCTTGTTAGGTGTGTAGAGTCCATTCCGACTCAGCGACCTTTTGCACAACAGAACTGAACATTGCCCGATCCTACACCATCTTCACAATCGTTGAGCCGGTTGTTGCTGCCACTGTGCTCATCTATGTCATTGAAGGTGTCCCTCTTTTTGTGACCCTCCACACTACTAGCATGATGCCCTTCTCCAAGGACTGGTCCCTCCTGACAAAATGTCCAAAGTATGAGAGATGAAGTCTCCCCATCCTAGCTTCCTGGAACATTCTGATTGTGCTTCTTCCAACACAGATTTAGTTATTTTTCTGGCAGTTCGTGTTACTTTTAATATTCTCCTCTACCACCATAACTTAAATACATCAGTTCTTCTATGGTCTTTCTTATTCATAGTCCAACATGCATATGAGGCTGTTGAAAATACCATGACTTGAGTCAGGCTCACCTTAGTCCTCAAACTGACACAACACCGTCAACCCTATCATCACTTGATCTGATTAATGGGAGATTCCCAAGGGTGTGGCATGCAATGTCTCTTATCTTACAAAAGATAACAGGAGAAGTACTTGAGCAGAGAAGGAGGAACATGATACCACCAAGATAGAAGAACTGGGAGTGGAGTGGATCCTTTGGACCTGGGTCCCTGTACTGTGAAGCTCTAGATCCAGAGAAAGATTGATGCCAAGACACATGGAGAACTCCATGGAATGCTGGGCCTACAGGTGCTGAAGGGAGACAAGGGCCTTTCTCCAGAGTCGGGGCTCTGAATTCAGACTTCCAGCCTCCTAAACCATGAAAGAATAAACTTAAAACTGTCTTTCTGTCATAGCAGCATTAGATAACTAAGACAGTCACTATGAGTCAGAGTCAACTCAATGGCTTCAAAATTTCATGAAAAAGTTACATTATCTTTTCATTCACTGTTTCCATGAACTTTTTGAATATCTAATAGCAATCATTGAATAGCATTGTTCTACACACTCTACAAAAATGACCTCGTTTAATCCTCACAAGCTATTAGTAAACCTTATTCTACAAATAAGCACAAATAGATAGTTACTATCCAGATGAGATTCTGGTACCTGGATAACCACCAGTAAGCTTTCAGGAAAAGTAGGGATGGGCACTGAAGGAAACACAATGTTCAAAGTGCTTACCCTAGGGAAGGGAAGGAAGAAGTTTGACTGAAAGGATTTGTAAGTTTCTCATATGCATATGTTTCTGTATCATTTGAATCTTTTCATAGATTTGTTGTCTGTTGTTGTTAAGTGCCATTGAGTCAGTTCTGACTCATAGCAACCCTATATAGGGTTTCCACAGAGCTGCTGGTGACTTTGAACTGCCGACCTAAAGGTTCAAATCAACCTTGCAGTCCAGGGCTTATCCTACAGTACCACACCAGGACTCTGTACATAGATCACATATGGTTTTTTAAGGGAAAGAAGTTTTATGAGCAGCTAATTTTTTCTATTATGCAAATAAACTTAAAATAATTTTGTAGGTAAAACGAAAATGTAGAGAAGTTTTTCTTCAGACATTCTCCCATGTCCTTTGATGGTTTTTACATTTTAAAATATTACATAGGCTAGAAGAACAGAAGATACTTCTTGAAAGAAAGACCAACAGGAGAAATACAAAACAATATAGGCAGACCGACTGGTTACTACAAGAACAAGTAAGTGGCTCACCCAGGAGACATCAAGGCAAGTGGTTGGGTTCCCCTCAGGGCAAACCCCCTTCCAAGACAAGACTCAATGGGAATACACACTCTGATTGGTGGCCATGTTCATCACCGATAAGGAGAAGTGAGGGAAATATAGCCATGAAGCTGCGAGCTAAGCCCTCTACAACATTCAATAGACTCTTGTGAACCTGCGTGGAGACCTGGTTGGCCAGCAGTGTGGCAAGACCTGGGGACGCTTGGGCCCAGAGTCAGTGACATAGCCACAGAAGACTAGAGTAGAAAGTGAAACATCCAGCTGATAAGAAGAGAGGGCATATGTACAAGAACACCCGTACTTTCAGATAATACCCACTTGACCTAGCTTCAATGATTGGATTATCAGAGCACAACTAGAAGAAGAAAGGAGGGGGGAAAGAAGAGTAATCTGATACAATTTGATGAACTTGACCTACATCTATGGATGCAGTAGCTCAAAAGAGGGAACAAATCTTTACAGCAAGGATCATACCCACCCATCCATACACAGAGCAGACAGGGATGGGCAACTTGGACATTAGCTACCCAAAATGGGGGTGCTTCAAAGACAAGAAGTGACTGGCTTACAAGCTTTCAAGAGGGAATCTCGATCCAGAGGGCATGGAGGAAGGTAGAATCTCCACTGAGTAGTATCCAATCTGTCTAGGCTGGGCTGATGAAAGGAAATGCAGATAGGTCTCTTGTGATACAATAGTGAATAATTGTTATCAGGACTGATTGTGAGGGTTGGAAATGTAAGGGTAGATGTTTTGTAGCAAGGAGGGGAGTGATTAACTTTGCAGTCTAGGAGCAGAGGTCCCTGGAACCAACAAGGGAGAAGAGTAGAGAGCGGGACCCTACCCAGAGAAGCAGTGATACCTGAGATGGAGGCAGAGACAATGACATGGAGAGATGGAGCAGCTGTGAACTGCTCCACAGAGAGGGAGAGGGGCTTTGTATTGATGGGTGGGGAGAGGGTGGGGGGAGGGTGGCCAGGCTTGCAGGGTATACCCTGTGATTTGTTGATGATGCATGGAGGGGATTATAACTATGCCAATGAAACCATATACGATAGGATGAATGTCGAACTAATGTTCTCCCATGTAAACTATCACATAATTCACAATAAAACAGTAAAAAATATTTATTACATAGGTGAACTATGTACTGATGCCATTATCACAGATAGCCCAGTTAAGTATTATGTGCTAATAATTACTCAGTATTTTACAACCTCAGCTATAGTTATAAAAGAAAAGATTCCACATATGTCTTAGCAATTCCATGAAAATGGAGCTGCCTTGGAGATTAGTTTTCATTGTCTCCTTAAGTATTTTGTGCTGGGGGTTAGACCGGGAGTCTGATAGAAATTTCATTTTAGCTGCTGGTCCTCTCACCAATGACTTGCTGCACAACCTAAGCGACCCACTGAGAAATCAGGGCTATGGTGTTGCAGCAGGTGATGAGGACATTTATGTTTGTCACCAGCCACTGCCTGCTTTCCTGCCGGAGTACTTCAGTAGTGTTCGTGCCAGCCAGGTCACCCATTATAAAGTATTTCTGCCATGGGCACAGCTTCTCCCATCAGGAAGCTCCCAGAACCCCAGTGAGAAAGCAGTGCGGTGCTACCGGAGCCTCCTGAAGGCTCTGGAAGCCACACAGCTTCAACCCATGGTCATCCTGCACCATGGGAAACTTCCTGCGAACGTGGTCCAGAGCAGCCAAGTCTTTGCTGACCTCTTCGCTGACTATGCCGCATTCGCCTTCCACTCCTTTGGGGACCTGGTTGAAATATGGTTCACTTTTAGTGACTTGGAGGCGGTGATAACGGAACTTTCCCTTCAGGAATCAAGAGCTTCTCGTTTTCAAGCCCTTGCAGACGCACACAGAAAAGCCTATGAGATTTACCACAAAAGGTTTGCTCCTCTGGGTAAGTCAGCCTTGACCATTATTCTCCTTAACACAGGTCTCAGCACAGTTTCCTGCTCACCTTCAATAGTCCTTGTGAAGCCAAACGTTAATGAGAAATGAACACTGCATTGAAGATTTCCTCATGAAGCTTTTGGTGGTGGTGGTAAGTGCCTGCCAATCGACCCTGAATAGAGGGTTTCTGAGAAGCGGCTGGTGGGTTTGAACCATCGACCTTATGGTTAGTAATCCAGTATTTATTCAATAGCTCCATACAAGGACTTCCTCATGGAGGTAAGAAGGGGTTTATATCACTCAGCACCCAGTGTTTCCCTTGAAAAGTACCGTTTAGACACCTCATGCCTACTTGTGTGCCTATGTAGCCATTCAATTATCCTTGTCTTCCTTCCCTGCTACTGTCCTGCCTCCCTGGATCTACCTGTCCTTCCTCAGCCTCCTGTTTTCTTTGCAGAGGAATTCATGTATTCTAGTTGGAGCTGACATCCTAGCAGATGAGACAGAACAATACATAAGCACCCTAATGATATACGAACTGGTAGTAAGAAGAGTTCAGCTGTAATTGTCTATATTCTGACTTTATAGGTAACTCTAGATTCTGTTTCAGAATCTGGAACACCTATGAGTCTAATAAGTTCCCCAGATGATGGGTATGCCAATTTTGAGAACTGATTTTAGAATGTGCATGCTATCTTGTTTTCATCATATATTATATGTAACTTGCAGTTAAGGATCTCTGGTGGTACAGTGGTCGAGCGCTTGACCGCTAAATGAAAGATCAGCTGATCTGTGGGAGAAAGATGTGGCAGTCTGCTTCTGTAAAGCTTACAGTTCTACTGTGTCCTACAGGGTCACTATGAGTCAAAAATCGACTTGATGGCTATGGCAACAGTCTGGGTTTGATACTCAGCAGCCAGTGCAGGACGCTGCACACCTTACCACGTGAAGATTGCATTCAGGGACAGAGTGAGCCAGCAGGGGCTGTGGGAGGCTGGCATTCTCTGCAGCAACAAAGGATGTGTGCACCTTGGTTCCTGCTGGGGCATGTGATTGGCTTGTCTGAGTAATTTCATGGGTTGGCAGAGGCCCATTGTGTTGAGGACTAGGCAGTTTGCAGTTGGTTCCGCAGATGGAGGAATTAGCCAAGTAGAAAGGGAGTCTTTTCTGCTGATTAAAGGGCAAATCTAACAAGAGCAGGGGAACTTGCAATCAGGCAAAGAGGATCAAAGGCAGTAGATGAAAATCTACCTTTACAATACACCCTCATTGGATGGCTCCAATAAAAATGACATGATGAATATATGTTAATGATGAATATATGTCAATGTCACTGGACAATATATATGAAGACTATAGAAATGGCATATTTATTTGCTGCACAAACATTAAAAATAGATAATAATAAATCGTTGACAATAACAATGGTGAGAATGTGGAGCAACTGGTGTCTCCTTTTATTTCTGATTGCTGTTACGTGCTATAGAGTCGGTTCCAACTCATAGATTCCAAGGAGCCACTGGTGGGTTTGAATCGCTGACTTTGTGGTTAACAGTCCAGTGCTTATCCTACAGCTCCACACCAAGACTTCTGTTGCTGGGGAAATGTAAAATTGTACAGATGCTTTAGAAAACAGTCTGGAAATTCCTCAAAATGTTAACTTAGGCTTCATATGCAGTAAAACCTGTGAGAGCAGAAACAGCCAGACTGCCCTGTTTTCCCAGGTTCTGGATGGTTTTCATCTTTGGTAGGTGCAGTATAATCACATTTCTGTTACTCATTTTAGTGGGAAATGTTCATGTTTTCCTTCTCTGACAGGTTTCCGTCTTACATAGGCTCCAGTTTGCATAGTGTTAGTGTATATGAAATTCTAGAAAACCTTTAGAGCAGCAAGCCAATCACTCATGTCCTGAGGCCAGGGTAGGGGCACATGAGTACTTTCGGATCATATGGTGTGGTAACATGGTACATAAATTTGTCAAAACGTTAAGATGTTTATTTAAAATGGATAATTGTATCAAATGTAAATCTCAATAAGGTTGATATTTTAACATGAAAGCAAAATAAACACATTTTTTAGACCCTCTCCCCAAAAAGTTAAACTTCCAGTTTTACCAAGTTGTTGTTTCCAAGGAGCAGCCGGTGGGTTTGAACTGCTGATTTTACAGTTAGCAATCCAGTGCTTATCCTACAGCACCACACCAGGAGTCTATATGACTCAGCAATTCAGAAAACATATGTCCACACAAAACTTGTGCACAAATATTCACAGTGTCTTATTCATAACAACCAAAAAGTAGAAATAACCCAAATGTCCATCAACTGATGAATAGATAGACAAAATTTAGAATACCTATACAGTGGAATATTTTTAGTCATAAAAAAGGAATGAGGTGCTGATACATGTTATAACCTGGATGTCTTATTTACCTAGTGCTGTTATAACAAAAAGACCACACATGATGACATCAACAAACACAGATGGATTCTTTCAAGGTTTAGGAGGCTAGAAGTCTGAATGCAGGGTCCCAGCTCTAAGGGTAGGCTCTCTCTCAGTTCTGAGGGATGGTCCTTATCATACATCTTCCTGAGCCTAGGACTCCTCAGCGCAGGGACTCTGGGTCCAAGTAACATGCTCCACTCCCATCTCTTCTCTCTTGGCGGTTGTAGGGACTCTGTTTTTCTGCTCCCGTCTCTCTCCTTTCATCCCCTGCAAGGTAACAGGTGATGCAGGTCACACTCCCGTGCATGGATAAGGACTGCCATCTGAGAAAGAATGTTGCCTCCCTCCCTAAGTCCTTTACAATTGGTTGGCTATGGCTTGTCACATCAGATCACTTGATGGGGAATTATTACATTCTTACATAACTGCCAAATGGCATCACTACACAGCTGCCAAACCACTGAGAATTATGTCCCAGCCAAGTTGACACATATTTGGGGGCCCACAATTCAATCCATGACATTGGATGAACCTTGGAATGTTATGCTAAATGCAAGAAACCACATAAAAGCCTCCATATTATACAATTGTATGTGAATGAAATGTCCAGAAAAGTCAAATCTTTAGAAACAAAAAACAAATTAGTGGCTGCCAGGGACTTGAGTTTGGGGGTTGGGTGGAGAGGTGATAGTTAATAGTTATGAGGTTTCCTTCTGGAGTGATGAAAGTGTTCTGAAATTAGATAGTGATGATGGTTGTGGCACAACCCTGTGAATATTCTAAAATTATAAATTATACACTTGAAATTGTGAATTTTATAATATGAGAATAGTATATTCAGTTTAAAAATGTTAAAATAAAAACATAGGTAGAAAGGTGGAGTGTCCAATAAAATCAACAAACTCTGACAGAACTTAACTGTTCCTTCCCTATTCCAACCCCAACCTACCCCCTTTGATATCCACAATTACTTTGTTGGTATAAGGCAAACACTTCTAATACAATTTTTTAATTTATAGAAAATGTGGCATTTTAGAAAATAGAGCACATTACCATGTGTTTTGTTATATTTGATTTTGTTTTTCATATAAATAAAGAGTCGACTACCAATTAGAAATAATATGAAATGAAGTTCTGCGTTTTTCTTTAAAAAAAACAAAAAAACTTTTTACTGTGAATTGAGAGAAGGTTTACAGAGCAGATCATCAGTATTTTGCTTCGTTACGTGGTTGTAATCCCATCCATGTGCCAACAGCTAGCAGTATTTACCTCTATTCACTTTATCTATTGCATTCCTCTCTATGTCTCCCACTACCTTCATCTTTCCTCTGCTAACCTCCTTCTTGTATATTGCCTGTCCTGTTACCCATGTTAACATGTGTCTACCCTCTAACCCAGAGTTCTCGTATGGTACTGTGGGTTAATGCACTGGACTGCAAAGGTCATTTGAACCACAAGGTCAGCAGTTTAAGCTCACCAGCCACTCCTCAGAAACCCTACATAGGGTCACTATGAGTTGGAACCTACTCAATGCCACTTTTTTTTTTTACTTTTTACGTTGGTCACAAGAGCCCTTTTGTGATGAACTAATTTCACTCAGCATAATGTCCTCCAGGTTCATTTATGTTGTGAGGGGTTTCTCAGATTCATCATTTTTCTTCAACACTATGGAGTGTTCCACTGTGTGTATGTACTGAAGTTTGTTTAACCATTCTTTTGTTGATGGATATTTAGACTGTCACCATCTTTTTTGTAGACTGCATATGAAAGATCCTGTTTTCTTATCCATACTCTCTTGACCCATGAATTTAATCCATTTACATTCAGTGTAATTCTCCATAGATTTAAATTGATTGGTGTCATTTTGCTGTGTGTTTTTCTTTGTGGAGCTTCTCTGTCCCATGTAATTTTCTGCACTGAGTTAACTTTGTGTATGGGTTTTCTTTTCATCTTCTGTTATGCAAATGTTTACTAAATCCTTCTGATGTTCCTCTTTTTTATTTTGATGTTCATGTGTATTAATTTTCAGGATTTATAAATTTACAGATTATAAAAATAATAATTTTTTCCCCTACTTAAAACAGTCTGATTTATCTTGAAATCTACTTGACTTGTTTGCCATTTGGAAGTTCTCTATCTATGCTATTCCCTCTTTTTGCTTTGTAGTTGACTTCATTATAAATTGATATCTCTGAATCCTTATTTTCAGTCTTACAGATTTGTTTTACTTAAAACATTTTTATATCTGGATTGAGTTCTGGGTGGTGTTGTCATGCATGGTAACTTCGGATTGTTATCTGCTATTGCTCAGTCTGAAGACCATCCTTTAGCATTTTTTTTGTAAGGTTAGTCTGGTCATTAGAAATTTCTTTAATTTCTGTTGATAAGGAAATGTCCTAATTTCACCATTGTATTTGAGGGACAGCTTTGCTGGGTATAGGATTCTAGGTTGGCATTTTTTTTTTCAGAGTTTTGTATATTTCATTTGATTGCCTTCTTGCCTGCATGATTCCTGCTGAGAAATCAGAGTTTAGTTTTATTCATTCTCCTCTGCAGATAACTTT